TGGGCGGGGCCAGGTACAAGCTGGGGCGAAAGGGGGCGTGGCCAGCGAGAGAGCTGGGGGGGCATAACCTAAGGGAAGATTGAGCAAGGGGTGGTTTTTCAGTAGACCAGCCTTCTTTCCAAAAATGAGTGCAAAACACCAAAAAGGTGGATTTTGGAAAGTTAGGCTCTCACAATTGGGAAACGGTGTAATACCAAAGGAAGGCACGCCACTTCCTAAGACCACCTTATTTCTCCAACCTCTGATGAAAGGGCACTGGATTTGGAATCAGACAACTGTGTTTGCTAGCGCTGCCACTTACTGGCTGCGTGCCCTTGGATAACCTCTTAATCTTTTTGAGCCTCAGTTTTCTCATCTGTCAAGTGGGGTTGAGAGGAATACCTACTCATGATAGGCATCAACATATTTTTAAACTATGGTGGATGGACTCTGTCATTATAAGATGTTATCATTTTTTTCTCTTTTTCTTCCCAGAGACCCCCCCGGCCGCCCTTCTCCTCCCTTTGTTCTTGTGGCTGGGGGGGTATCCCCTCCCTCCACAACATGGAGCCATCTCCTTTGTCTCCCAGTGGGACAGCACTCCCCCTGCCTCTATCGCTGGCTCCACCCCCACTGCCCTTGCCAGCCGCTGCAGTGGTACACGTGTCCTTCCCTGAGGTGACCAGTGCCCTCCTGGAGTCCCTCAATCAGCAGCGGCTGCAGGGCCAGCTCTGTGATGTGTCTATCCGAGTGCAGGGCCGGGAGTTCCGGGCTCATCGGGCTGTCCTGGCTGCCTCCTCCCCTTACTTCCATGACCAGGTCCTACTCAAGGGCATGACCTCCATCTCTCTGCCCAGCGTCATGGACCCAGGCGCTTTCGAGACTGTCCTGGCCTCTGCTTACACTGGTCGCCTCAGCATGGCTGCTGCTGACATTGTCAACTTCCTCACAGTGGGTTCTGTCCTCCAAATGTGGCACATTGTGGACAAGTGCACTGAACTCCTCCGAGAAGGCCGGGCCTCAGCCACCACCACCATCACTACTGCTGCAGCCACCTCTGTCACTGTCCCTGGTGCTGGGGTCCCCTCAGGGAATGGGGGCACTGTGGCCCCTGCCACCATGGGCTCTGTGCGCTCCCATGCCTCCAGCCGAGCCAGTGAGAATCAGTCTCCCAGCAGCAGCAACTACTTCAGTCCCCGGGAATCCACTGATTTCTCATCTTCCTCCCAAGAGGCATTTGCTGCTTCAGCAGTGGGCAGTGGGGAGCGTCGAGGAGGTGGCCCTGTATTTCCAGCCCCTGTTGTTGGTAGTGGAGGGGCTACCTCTGGGAAACTACTGCTGGAGGCAGATGAGCTGTGTGATGATGGTGGGGATGGGAGGGGCGCGGTAGTCCCTGGGGCTGGGCTCCGGAGGCCCACCTACACACCCCCAAGCATCATGCCACAGAAACACTGGGTATACGTGAAGCGAGGTGGAAACTGCCCAGCACCAGCACCCCTGGTTCCTCAAGACCCAGATCTAGAGGAGGAAGAGGAGGAGGAAGACCTGGTGTTGACCTGTGAGGATGATGAAGATGAAGAGCTGGGGGGTGGTTCCAGGGTTCCAGCAGGGGGAGGGCCTGAGGCTACCCTCAGTATAAGTGATGTCCGTACCCTGAGTGAGCCTCCAGACAAGGGGGAGGAGCAGGTGAACTTCTGTGAATCCTCCAATGACTTTGGCCCCTATGAGGGTGGAGGTCCTGGGGCAGGGCTTGATGACTCAGGAGGGCCAACTCCCTCTTCCTATGCCCCCTCCCATCCTCCACGACCCCTTCTTCCCTTGGACGTGCAAGGGAACCAGATCCTGGTCTTCCCGACATCTTCATCCTCCTCCTCCTCCTCACAGACTCTGGGCCAGCCACCAGGGAACCAAGCCGAACATGGGGCGGTGACCCTGGGGGGCACGTCAGTGGGGGGTCTGGGCATGCCAGGTAGCGCTGGCGGGGCCCCTGGAGGCACCAGCAGCGGGGATGGGAATAAGATCTTTCTGTGCCACTGCGGAAAGGCCTTCTCTCACAAGAGCATGCGGGACCGCCACGTGAACATGCATCTCAATCTGCGGCCCTTTGACTGCCCTGTGTGCAACAAAAAGTTCAAGATGAAGCACCATCTGACTGAGCACATGAAGACGCACACAGGTCTCAAGCCCTACGAGTGCGGCGTCTGCGCAAAGAAGTTCATGTGGCGAGACAGCTTCATGCGCCACCGAGGACACTGTGAGCGCCGGCACCGCCTGGGCGGGGGCGGGGGCGGGGCCGGACCTGGACCTGGACCTGGGACGCCCGCTGGGCCAGCCTTACCGCCCAAAAGAGAGTCCCCCGGAGCGGGTGGGGGCAGTGGCGATGAGGTGGGTGGGGCCACGTCCCCTCCCGGTAGGCGTGTCTGGTCCCCACCCAGCGTCCACAAGGTGGAGATGGGCTTCAATGGGGGCGGAGGAACAAACTGAAGGGGCAGGCTACTGGGGGTAGCTTTCGGGGAAGAGGGAATAGGAGCAAGATCCGGGGGCGCTGTTGCCCCAGGGTGATTTCCCACCGCACTCACTGTCTTCCTTTATTTCTATGGACTTGTATATATTCTGGCAGGGGAACCATATTGCACCATCGCCAGCCCATTCCACTCCTCAGTCCCTCCCTCCCAAGGTATCCCTGGAACTAAGCCCTTTCCCTCTGATGGGTACACTGAAGCCCCAGCTCCACGGAGTAGGGTGCACGTGGGGGAGGGAGGGAGACCAGTGAGCATCCTGGAGTCACAGGGTCAAGGGTCAGGTGGTTGGTTGTAGTCTGTGCTTGAAGTCTGTGTTTGTGTTGTTGTGGGGACCAGACCTTTGAGTCTCACCCTTGTCCTAGAACCTACCCCTTCTCCCAGGATGCCCTCCTTATTTCTACCCCATTCTCCTCCCCCTCCCGTGGGGATCCCCGACTCGGTTCTCACAGAGGTGTGGGTGGAGACAAGGAGGGAGTAATTCGTAGGAGTACAAGGTTTTATGATTATTTTTTAAACAGTGATTAAAATATTTATTGGTCATTTCACTTGGCTTCCAGACAACCCCTATGTGTTTGCTGGGGACGCGGCACGAGGGGGTGCGGGGGTGGGGAGTGTAGGGGGGGTGAGAGGGAAAGCCGGAGTACTTGTTCTGGGGAAGTGGATACTGGAGGGAGGACGCGGGAGGGAGCCTAGGTTTGGGGGAGAGCTGGGACTAGGCGCAGCTGGGTTCGGGAGGGCTCTGCAGGGCTGGGGCGTCCTAACGAGACCTGGAGAGGATGTTTCCGGATCCCTGCCTGGCCAGGGGGGAAGCACCCGTCTCTCAGGAACCCTCACCTAACCGGAGCGGGGATTTCCTCCGCCCCACCTGCTGCCGTTTGGAGGAAAGTGAAAGTGAAAGGAGGAAGAGGAGGCTGCGGGGCCGAGGAGATCGCAGCGCCATGATGCCCCTGTCTCTGCTCCTCGCTGTGGCTTTGGGTGAGAGAACTCCGCGATTCCCGGGAACTATGGGGGACGCGGAAGGGGGCGGCACTCCTGGGCGCCCGACGCCGGGATGGGAGGGGTCAGGCCACCAGACATCCCGGCCGCCCCCTGACGTGCCCCTCTCCCCCAGGCCTGGCGACCGCCGTCTCAGCAGGACCTGCAGTGATCGAGTGCTGGTTCGTGGAGGATGGGGGCGGCCTGGCCAAGAGACCCGCTGCGCTGCTGCTGCGCCAGGGGCCGGGGAGCCCGCCCTCTCGGCCGGACCTCGATCCTGAGCTCTACCTCCACGTGCACGGTGAGTCTTTCGGGACTCGCCCCCACCGAAGCCCCCACCTCTGTAGATGGCGCAGAGACTGGGGGAGTCAGCTTCCCTCTCTGGAAAGTGAGTCTAGAGCGCCTCTACACCTCTCACCACCCGGCGGTCTGTGCATTTGAAGTTCCCAGAGCGCTGCCCTTCCAGCTCTTTCCCGGCCACGACTCTACAGTCTGCAACTCCCTTCTCTGCACTCACAGACCCCACGGGCGCCTTCCAGGCTGCCTTCCGGCAGTACCCACGGGGCGGCCCCGCGCCACACTGCGAGATGAGTCGCTACCTCCCGCTCCCCGCCTCTGCGAATTGGGCCAGCGGCCTGAGCCCGGAGGAGAGCTGCCCGCGGGCCCTGGACGGGACTTGGCTGATGGTCAGTATGTCCAGCTCGGTCCTCAGCCTCTCCAGCCTCCTGCGACCACAGCCGGAGCCTCAGCCGGAGCCTGTTCTCATCACCATGGCAACAGGTAGCTGGGCAGGATAGGTGGAGATGGTCCAGATCAGCCGTAGACTCGTTGTATGGACCCGAAAGACACACTTCCCTAATCTGGGTTCAGTTTCCGTTTTTTGAAAAGCGAGACGTTTTTGGCTGGAAAACAAAACTTGCAAATTGGGGGCGGGGCCTCAAAGAGAGGGTTGCGGAGAGGCGGGGTTTCCGGCCACCGTAGCTTGAGAAACCTCGTCAGGTATTGGGGTTGGGAGGGGTTCCGAAACAGGAACTTTTTCTCCGCCCCTCTCAGATCTGTATCTTGCTAGGCACCCTCACCTTTGTGGTCGACACTGTATCAAAAACCAGCCTCACGCCCACCCACGCTCACGTCCGACTCTATGCAGTCCTCAAAGCAAAGGCTCTTGCACTCAAGCACATTTATCTTTCCTGAAAGCCCCTTCCCTAAGGCGCGTGGGAATGTGTTGTCTCTTATTGGTCGGCAAACAGTGGGCTGGAGTGGGTCCCACTGCAAAACTGCTTATTGCATGATGCAACGCAGTTGGAGGCCAGGGGTCCGGCACTTTGCAGGGCTGGAGCGGTACCCCTTCCATTTCACCCTTCTCACTGAAACCAAGGAAACGGACTCGGCATCCACCCCCGAAACCCTCCCCTCTGCCTACACCTCCATCCCTAGTCTCCAGCCTCCTTCCTGGGCAGGGACTGAGGAAAACTGCTCTTGTGTAGTATCTCGAATCAGGAGGAATATTTCCTAGGATGGCTGGATTCACTAAGGTAGTGGGTGATGGTGAGATATCCTTTGCGAAGTTCGTTTTTTCTTTTTCTTTTTTTTGAGTCGGAGTCTCACTCTGTCACCCAGGCTGGCATGCTCACAGCCACCACAGCCTCGACCTGCTGGCCTCAGGTGATCCTTCCTCCTCAGCCTTCCAAGTAGCTGGGACTGCAGGCACGTGCCACCACACCTGGCTAATTTTTTGATTTACTGTAGAGATGAGGTCTCACCAATTTGCCCAGGCTGGTCTCGAACCTGTGGGCTCAAGCAATCCTCTCACCTCAGCCTCCCAAAGTGCTGGGATTATAGGCATGAGCCACCGCACCCGGCCCCGGGCACTCTTAAGGAGCACAAAAGTGATCAATGTAGATTCTACTCTCAAGGAGGTTCTGGGCAGATTTGTCATGGATAATCTTAATGTAAAGTGGAGGGTGATGGTGCCCATGAAGGAAGGGCAGATAGGGAGCCCTGGCAGTTCTCAGGTGGGAAGACTGTAGCAACTCATAGACCACTGAAGTAAATCAATTTATGTGCTCAGTCTTTTCAAGCATTTCTGCTTGATTAGGGATTTAAGAAAATGGGGGAAAGTGTGGGCAGGGAAAAAAAGAAAAGAAAATGGGTCCAGGCACCAGGGCTCACACCTGTAATCCCAACATTTTGATAGGCCAAGGCAAGAGGATTGCTTGTGTCCAGGAGTTTGAGACCAGACTGGGAAACATAGTGAGATCTCTGTCTCTACAAAAAATTAAAAAAATTAGCCAGGCATAGTGGTGCACACCTCTAGTCCCAGCTACTCTGGAGGCTGTGGTGGAAGGACATCCTGAGCCCAGGATGTCGAGGCTATGGTGAACCTTGGTCATGCCACTGCATTCCAGTCTGGGCAACACAGTGAGACCCCGACTTACCTGATGTAGAATTAGAAACTGAATACCTTCAGGGTCAGAGATCATTGATAATTTTGCTAATATACATTTGTACTTTATATCTTATCACTTTAAAAAAAATTTTTATAGCCAGGCTTGTTCGTTCAGCCTGTAATCCTGTGTTTTGGGAGGCTGAGGTGAGTGGATTGCCTGAGCCTGTGGGTTCGAGACCCACCTGGGCAACTTGATGAGACCTCATCTCTACAATAATAAAAAAATTAGCCGGGTGTGGTAGCGTGCACCTGTAGTTCTAGCTACTTGGAAGGCTGAGGTGGAAGGATCACCGGAGCCCAGCAGGTCGAGGCTGCGGTGGCCAGGAGTGGCCACTGCACTCCAGTCTGGGCGACTGAGTGAGACTCCAACTCAAAAAAACAACAACAACAACAAAAAAGAACATTGTGGAAAGTTTCAAAGATACATAAAAGAGTAAATAGTATAATGAACTCCCATATACCTATTACCCATTCGTATGACATTTTACCAAATTGTTTTGCCTTTCCTCCCTCCACCTTCTTTTTCCTTTTTTTTTTAAAGTTGGAGTCTCACTGTGTCGCCCAGGCTGGCGTGCAGTGGCACACTCATGGCCACCGCAGCCTTGACCTGCTGCCCTCAGGCGATTCTTCTGCCTCAGCCTTCCAAGTAGCTGGAACTATAGGCACACACTACCACACCCGGCTAATTTTTTGATTTATTGTAGACAAGTTCCTTCCAAGTTGCCCAGACTGGTCTCAAACACCTGGTCTCAGGCAATCTTCTTGCCTCAGCCTCCCAAAGTGCTGGGATTACAGGTGTGAACCACCTCACCCGGCTGCTTCCTTCCTCTTAAAAAAAACTGCTATTGATTTGTTGGAGAAACCTGGTCATTTGTCCCATAGAATCACCCACATTCTGTGTCTGGCCAGTTATTTCCTCATGGTGTCATTTACCTTGTTCCTCTTTCCTCCACATTTACAAAAAATTGATAATTAGATCTAGAAGCTTGATTAGATTTGGATTTAATTTTTTTTGGTAATACTTTATTTTATTGTTGTTATAATTATTTATTTATTTATTTTTGAGTAGGAGTCTCACTCTGTTGCCCAGGCTGGAGTAGAGTAGCACGCTCACAGCCACCGTAGCCTTGACCTGCTGGGCTCAGGTGATCCTTCCACCTCAGCCTTCCAAGTAGCTGGAACTACAGGCACATGCCACCATGCCTGGTTAATTTTTTTGATTTACTGTAGAGATGCAGTCTCACCAAGTTTCCCAGGCTGGTCTAGAACCCGTAGACTCAGGCAATCCTCTCACATTGGCCTCCCAAAGTGCTGGGATTATAGGTGTCCACCATGCCCAACATATTGTTAATATTATCATTATTATTTTAGCTGGAGTTTCACTCTGTTGCCCATGCTGGAGTGCAGTGGCATGCTCATGGCAACAGAAGCCTCAACCTACTGGGCTCAGGAGATCCTTCTGCCTCAGTTTTTCAAGTAGCTGGAACCACAGGTATGTGCCACCATGCCTGGCTAATTTTTTGATTTATTTATTGATTTATTTTTTTGAGTTGGAGTCTCACTCTGTAGCCCAGACTGGAGTGCAGTGGCCGCTCCCGGCCACTGCAGCCTCTACCTGCTGGGCTCTGGCAACCCTTCTGCCTCAGCCTTCCAAGTAGCTGGAACTACAGGCGTGCGCTACCACGCCCGGCTAATTTTTTGATTTATTGTAGAGATGAGGTCTCGCCAAGTTGCCCAGGTGGGTCTTGAACCCGCAGGCTCAGGCATTCCACTCACCTCAGCCTCCCAAAGCGTGGGATTACAGGTTGAGCCACTGAGCCCGGCTAATTTTTTGATTTATTGTAGAGATGAGGTCTTGCCATGTTGTTCAGGCTGGTCTTGAACCCCTGGGTTCAGGCAGTCCTCTCGCCTCCGCCTTCCAAAGTGCTGGTATTACAGGCATGAGCCACTGCGCCTAGGGTATTTTATTATTATTTTTAATCATCTAGCCCAAAATATCATCAGTAATACTTTATAATTAGTCGTTCCTGTTCACTTTTTTTTGAGTTGGAGTCTCACTCTGTTACCCAGGCTGGAGTGCAGTGGCATGGGCACGGCCACTGTAGCCTCTTACCTGCTAGACTTTGGCGAT